TATTGATACTTTTTTTGAAAAAAAATAGATTTCGAGAAATTTGTACAATGCATTTAGTTCACCCCTGTCCCCGGATTGCCCCGCCTGACCCCGGCTATTTAGATGGGGCTAGGTGGGACTGGTGCTGACAGGGTAGTAAAGCGCAAAACACTCATCAATATAGACTCAACTAGATGTCCTCTGAGGGATAGTGCACTACGCCCGGAGAGATCCGACCAAACTAATACGTGTATCGAAGGTGCTTTGACAGTGCAGATATGTTGGAAAGGCTTGAGCATTGACGACGCTCGTCCTTTGGCAGCGGCGATCCGACTGGCTGCGTAGAAAGCTGCGTCAGTTTTTGCCACTCTTCTCCATGCCGGTCGGTCCTGGGCGCGGACATCTAAGGTCATCGCGTTGATTTGAAAGCACTCCAGGGACTTTTTCAGGATGTCCTTGTAGCGCTTCTTTTGTCCTCCGGAGTTGCAAGCACCAAAAGCAACTTTACTGTAGAAAAGTTGCTTGGGTAGTCGTCGGTCATCCATCCACACCAAATAACCGCTTCAAACAGCTGGAGTTTTCTCAGCATGGCGTGGATACTGAAGATTCACGTTCTTTCCAGGAGTTCCGTGTTTGGGATCCTGCCCTGTCATCTCGACTTCAGTATTCAGCAGAGGCAACTGAGATGGGAATGACTCATGACGACAGCCTTGTATCTCTTTAGTTTATTTGACAGTTATAGGCCATGACGGTTCAACACGGAGGCTTAAAGCCGGCCGAAGCCTTGGCTGGCTTTGAACATCCAGCGAGCAAACTTGTACAGCGCAAAGTTCAAACTTAACGGGTTTACATGGTTTGACCAATATTACAACAAGCACTTGATACGCACAGTACTTCAAGATTGAAGAAGTACGGATGAAATAGTGAAGCGTGAAAACCAACCGAAAAGGTCTTAAAGCGCATATATTTTGTGATACGAAACAATCCTATGTAAGGTCCTGTCCGCATTTCACATCAAGAAATCCACAGAATAGCTGTAAAATCTGAAAAAAACAAGTATTGTTATGGGTGTCTGTAATGAGTTTGCATATTAAAATGCTAAAACACAAAACTTATTCCACTTTTATGTCCAGCTGGCTATCTAACAGGCACTGACATCTACGCGTCACTGACCCTGATATGGCGTTGGAAATTGGAAATGGCTCAGCTTTTCCTTTGAATTGGGATTACTTTTTGAGAAAAACAGCCTAACTGACCTCCATGCCACGTGAAGAGTACTTGGGCTTCACTATTAGACAGTTTTTCTACTGTGACAGAATACAAATAATGCGTTATTTTCTAAAAGTTTCCTAATTGACGTAGTGGAATCGATTATGAATGGAGTTAAGTACTTTCAAAACTTGGTAGTAACCAGTAAACGCTGTTTAATGTTTGGCCTAGGTAAACGGCGCGTTGGATGGAATGGATTAGTTCGTTCCTTTTTTGCGAAGGTATATTTTGAAATTAACCGGTAGATGGCTTAAGCGTGGAGAAGGTGGCGAAGATAGATGGCTCTGGAGTAAACCTTTCGGGAGCCTTATTATGCGTCAGTAAGTCTTGCGAGGCAGTAGCTCAAAAGCGTACGCGGAAGGTCATCATCCCAAAAAACTACTGATGAACGTAAAAGCGTTTGTGGCAAGGCTTCTTAGCTAGTGGTTACCTGTTATGTCATCCGTTCGTGGTGCATGATTGTTTTCACCACAAGATTTTATAGATCTGTATCTGTCCAGTAAATAGGATGATCGGTCTTGCATGACGTTATTTAGGATTTTGCTAACTACGCTTACGGGAATGGCTAAGCGATAATATGCGGCCACTACCGAGACGTTTTGGACTTAAAAGTGGCTAAACGTTTCACAATTCATTTTTAAACAGGGAGCCAACGGGCTGAATGCACTGGTAGCTACAAATGAGACGAAAATTTTTCGGTTAGACCTTTTAAAGTTTGATTGAACTGTAGCAGCATGAGCTGAACAGGGCCTGGAATACACTCAGTGAACAATTGGACTAGTCATAGATTAACCATCTTTTCTACATCTGCAGTTGACTATTGTAGTCGA